GAATGCTAGAGATTCTCAGAAGTGGAAGTGAGAAAGGAGGGAGATAAGGAGATGGGAGATGGGGTATGATGAATGAAGGACAGCAGGGAGCCCTGTTTGGCTAAACTAGAGGCTGCACCCAGGGGAGGAACGGAGAATAAGGCTGGAACTGTAAGTGGGAGCTAAGTTGTGAAGGGTTCTAGAAACCAAACAGGGGAGTCTGGACTTTACCCCAGAACCACTGGAACACCATGAGCAAGAGAAGGGCTTGATCAGAACTGTTTTAGGAAAATTCCTTTGGCAAATGTGTGGAGGAAGGATTGGAGACAGGAGAGAGGGAGGCAGGGAGGCCAAGTGTGAGGCTATTGCAGTCATCCAGGGAAGACGTGACGAGGGCCTGAACCAGCACAGTGACTGTGTGGGTAGACAGAAGTGGACAGACTTAAGAAATGTCATGGAGGTGGAATCTATGAGATTTGGAAATTAATTGCTAAGTGGAATTAGGGAGAACCTCAGCCCTTAACGGGCTTACCTTACAGTGGCTCAGATATATAGACACATATTGCTAACAGAATCCCTTGTAGATGTAAATAAACACAAGGTATAAATAAGCTAACGCAATTTCAATTAGGAGAAAATATCAATAATGAGGGAGTTATGAGGGGATCAGAAAAAGCCTCAAGAGCACCTAAGCTGTGCTTTAAAGGAAACTGGGGATTTCTAAGAGACAGAGTTGAGGAAGAAGTACATTGTGAACAGGGAGACTACCAGTGCAATCACAGAGGTTGGAGAGGAAAGATTTTACACAGGAAACAACCAGCAAGCTATTTGGACCAGAAGAGAGAGTGTGAGATGGGGAATGATGTGAAATAAGACTAGAAAGGTAAGCAGCAGCCAGACTACAGAGGGTTGTTGACACCAAGCTTGGGGATTTGTATTTCATTCTAGAGGCAATAGGGAGCCACTGAAGATTTCAGAGTGAGGGAGGGAGCAATACTTCTGTCAAGTTTGAGTTTGAGGAATATCACCCTAATGGCTCACTTCCACCTCCACTAGCATCTCCCTGTTTTCACCTCCAACATGGGCTCTTAGGAGCAGACCTCAGGTTTGCTCAAAGATGAGACCAGGAGAGTCGTCTGCCCATGGACATTTATTCAGGTGAGGGGAACAAGATGGGAGTGTTTCTGAACTCTTAAATAAAGTTGCACTGGGTCTGAGCGTGTGATCGCCATCACCCCAGTTCCAGCATTTCTTTCCTTCTTTCTTGTCTTCTGACTCTGGTTGCTTTTCCCTTCATTGAATTGGATGGCTGGCTGGGCCAGAGGACAGCAGGTAGGGTGGGAGAGGAGAGAGAAGATCCTGGGTCATCCATTCCCCAGCACTATTTTGGTCACCCAGCAACTGTGAGGGATCACTGATAGACAGCCCATATGTTTCCCGGTGTCATCGAGATAGCAAGAGAAATTGAGGATGGCCCCTCGTCCATTCCCTGTGGTGGAGGGAGGACGTGGGCAAGAGTCCCTTGGGAAAGACAAGCATGGATGGGCTATAATCAGCATTATTGGAAGCAATATCTCCACCCATGACAGCACAGATCCATTTAGATATTTGAGTAACACTAATAGAATGAGAAGCAGCTTGGCTGAATAGACAGAGGGGCCAGCCTGGGCAGCATTGAGACCCGGATTCACCTGCTGCCTCTGACTGCCCCTTGCCTACCACTAATAATAATAAATTCCTATTTGATAAATTAAATAATAATAGCTAGCCTTTATATTTTATTTTGAAGTTATAAAAGTACTTTTCTCATGTTACATTGTTTGATCCTATCAATTATAGGGTTGATTTAGCAGAAATATAAGAGAAGAGTGACTGGACCGGACCTGGGATTTCACTGATAGAGGGAACTTCCAGGTTGAGAAACTCTCTAATAACACAGGCAAGCATGTGGGAAAGTCTCAGAGAGCTCTCTAAACTCTCTCAGAGACTTGGTCAGGATCCCACAGCCAGTGTGTGTCTCAGATGGCACTCAAACCCAGGACTTCCTGGCTCTGGGGTCAGCTCTCTACCCACTCCAATGGGCCACCTCTTCAGAACGCTTGATCACTGTCTTCTCCTGGCTACTCACTTCTCTCTAGGTTTGGGGGACACCGTTCTCCTCCTGCCCATCTGACTGCTTCTTCTCAGTCTCTTGCCTACTAACTATGGGTGTCCCCCAGGGCTCTGCCCTGGACCCACTCTTCTTTCCCCTTTATACCATCTTGCTTAGGGATCTCATCAGCTCCCATTGGGTCCAATGATCTCCATGTAGATGATTCCCAGATCTACGTATCCAGTCTGAATTCTAGTCTCAAATCACCACCTGCCTTTTGGCATCTCAAATTAGATGACCCCCAGGCATGTCAATGTCAACATGTCCAAAACAGAGTTCATTCTCTTTCCTCCCCCCGAATCCTCTTCTCTTCCCAACTTTCTCATGATTCTTGAGGTCACCACCACCCTCCCAGTCACCCACGTTCACAAGTTTGATGTAACACTTCACTAATTCTCTACTCACATTCGCTCATCATATCAAATCTGTTGTTAAATCTCGTCATTCCTTCCTTCCTTTATAGCACTCCAAAGTTCCCTGCTCTGCACTCCCAAGCTACCCCCTAGAAGCAGATTTCGGTTTGATCTCCCTGCCTCCAATCCATCCTCCACTCAGGTACTAAATCCAGTCTGACCACATCCTCCCCTCCTCTTCAGTTCAATCATTTCCAGTGGCTTCCTATTACACTCAAACAGAAAATCCCCTGTTGGGCATTTAAAGTCCTTTACCATCTGGCCCCTTCCTAACTTTCCAATCCTTTTGCCCTTGGCTCCTTTCTCTGAACTCTGTGATCTAGCCCCACTGGCCTCTTGCATTTCTTCCTGGTTTTTCTCTGGCTGTCTCTCATGCCTGGAATGCTCTCTCTCCTCACTTTTGCCTCCTGACTTTCCTTTAAGACTCAGCTCAAATCCCACCTTCTGCATGAGGCAGTCCCCTCTCTCTCCTCCCCAAGTGGATTCCCTTAGAGATTCCTTTCCATTTTTTCAACGTTCAGTCACGTCCAACTCTTCACGATGCCATTTGGGGTTTTCTTGGCAAAGATACTGGTTTGCCATTTCCTTCTCCAGCTCATCTTACAGATGAGGAAACTGAGGCAAACAGAGTTAAATGACTTGCCCAGGGCCACACAAGCTAGTAAGTGTTTGAGGCTGGATTTGAACTCAGGAAGATGAGTATTCCTGATTCTAGGCCTGACACTCTATCCACTATGGCGGCCGCTAGCTGCCCCTCCTTCCATTTACATCTTATGTTTACATAGCTATCTTCCTGTTGTCGCCATTAGAACGTGAGCTCCTTGAGGGCAAGGACCGTGTTTTTGCTATTCTTTGTATCCCCAGTACTGAGTTCAGTGCCCAGCACATAGTATTAATATTACCAATAATAGCAATAAGAATTGATAGGTGCTTTATCATCCCACTTTCACAGATGAGGAAACAATCTGAGGTGACTTGTCCAAGATCACAGAGCTAGCAGTTATCTGAGACAGGATTAGAATTCAGTCCAGTGGTTTATCCACTTTGCCTCTGACAATTTCATCTGCCGGTACTCTGTCTAGGTCACCCTCTAAGACTAAAAGGTACAGAGAAAGTAGATATCTGCATCGGTAGAGAGGAAATATTATTTAGAAATCATGATAATTGATGACAATAACATTATTATCCTTAACAACAGGAACAGATACAGGAGAATTGCCTCATCAGGACACTGACCTGCACGAGATGCACTCTGCAAGAATTGCAACAATGGTTCAGCTTGCTCTAGCTTCCTTTGATGCCCAGTCTTTGCTGCAACAGAGGCATCCATATTTTTAATTGTAAATAGGAACCTTTGACTGATAATTCTAAGACTCTTAGCATCATGGAATCTCAGAGATGAAAGGGTCTTTGGACATCATGGATTCCAATGTCCCTGCCCAGGGGCCAACAGGCCTGAGGGGTGGTCATCCAGCAGCAGTCTGAATATTACAAAGTATTAAGGAGGGATCAGGCATCCTTGATAACTTCATTATGGGTACACATGGCTTCAGGAACCTGCACTATCTGACACACCTTTAGCCCCAGGGACACACAGCCCCTAGCATGTATTCAGTCTCATACACACATAGGTATGTGAGCAGTCCCAAACATATACACAAACTTATGGTATCCTCATACCTTTATGTACCTGAACATAGGATACATACTGATATATATATATATATATATGTGCCTGCATACGTATAAGACCCTGCCTTGCATTTGCAATGAATCACGTTAATTAGTTTGTTCATCCATCCACCCTCACGTCCATCCATCCATTCAACAATCATTTATCAGGTGCCTATGTGCAAAGCTCTGGAAAAAAACAAAACCAAAAACAAAACAGAAGGGGACGGGGGAAGGAGCTGCAAGACGATCACAGCACAGCATGGTGCCTGCCTTCATATGTGGACGCTTACATCGAAACACGCAGGTGTACTGACATTCATGCACACACGTATACACCGCCATACACATATCCTTAGGCACACACTTCTCCATAAGTGTGGCAACGAGCGTGTGAGGGTGTGTCCGGCCCCAGCGAGGCCCCAGGCCTCTGGGGGTGCACCTAGGCGGTCTACCCGCTCAGGGGTGCCCGGGCCATCCTGTGGGGCCCACTTCTCCAGCACCAGCTGGGGCTCCAGCCTGCCTGGTCCGGGCTAGGGAAGGGGAAAGCGGGAGTGGGAGCGGCGGGGGTGGGGTGGGGTGGGGGAGGGGCCTGCGGCCAATGGGGGCCAGGCCTAGGGCTCCAGGCACGCCCCTCCGTGCTCTCCGCTGCCCTGCCCGGGTGGCTGGCCCAGTGGCGAAGGGCGCTGACGGGGGGGGGGGGGGGCGGTGATCAGAGGGGGAGTGGGGGCTCCCAGGACCCGCCCCGCCCCGCCCCACTCCTCCTCTCCCCACCCCACGCTCTCCACGCCTTCCTTTTTCGGCGTCGGCCCCTGCGCAGGACCCAGGTGTCCGGGCCGCCCAACCTTCAGTGCCTGCACCCCCGCAGAGGTCCCGGGCCGATTCGAACGCCACGCCAGCCGGGCCAGACTGAGACTGGAGCTTCCCTCCCCCACCGCTGCCTGGGGCCAGCCTGGGCAGAGCCGGGATGGCCAAGCGGAGCTCGCTCTCCATCCGCATCGTAGAAGGCAGAAACCTGCCGGCCAAGGACATGTGAGTGGGGACCTCCGTGGGGCGGCCACAACTTTCGTTGCTCGGGGTGTTGGAGGGTACTCAGGTCCGTGTCCAAGTCATCCCGCCCCAGTTCTCCCTAGACCACATCTTTGGGGCACTGGATCGCCGCTGTGATGTGGGGTCGGGAGGGGTTGGACGACTGGCCAGGTGAATTCTCCCCTCTACTTACCCTCTGCTCCCCACTTCTCAGGGCTTTTGAAACCCAGACCCAGAAATCAAAAAGGCCGAGCAGGAAAGGATCCGCTTTGCGTAGGTGGGAAGGGAATTCTCCATTCCTGACGGGATCTCCCCAAGCAGGAGCTTCATGAGCACCTGTGGGGGTGTTGGAGGGAATCCCAGCCCAGACAGAGGTTGGGCTGGCCGCCCTCCGAGGTCCCTTTCAACTCGGAGAGACTGTGACCTTACACAATCTATAGTGCCACCCATTGTACAGCGCCCCGGGTTCCTCAGAAGGAGGGCAGTGCCTAGAGAATGGCCTGTGTGGGCACAGGAGGTGTGGGCAGAAGGGGAGGAATAAT